AACAACGAGACAGCCAAAAGTCTGATCCTAGGAGAGTGTCGTGACACCGAGGGCCATTTCGGTTGGAAGAAAACCTAGGCTAATATCCTCTGGTTCTACACCTCGGTCGGCATGAAGCACGACTGCATTGCCTATATCCAGGGATGTCAAGTGTGTCATCAGAACAGAAGTTCCACACAGTCCCCACCTGGCCTATTGAGGCCGCTACCTGTCCCGTCTGGTCCCGGTCAATCTCTGTTGATCGACTTCATGGACACGAAGGTTAAAAGCAACAACGGGACGAGTCAAGTGATGGTTGCTGTAGATAGATTTAGTAAATATGCCATTTTTATTGATCGACTTCATGGACACGAAGGTTAAAAGCAACAACGGGAAGAGTCAAGTGATGGTTGCTGTAGATAGATTTAGTAAATATGCCATTTTTATTCCGCTGCCCGCTGAGCCAAAGACAAATTTAGTGGTTAGAGAATTTTTCAATCAATGGGTTAAGGATTATGGACACCCGTTAACGACTGTCAGTGATACAGATAGCAGATTCACGGGCGAGCACTGGCAACAGTTGATGAAAGTCTATGGATCAAAGCTGACCATGTCTTCCAGTCGACACCCGGAGACCAATGGCCAGACCAAGCAGATGAACAAAATGCTCCAGCAAGCGCTATGCATGTATGTCCGAGCAGATGAACAAACTGCTCCAGCAAGTGCTACACATGCACATTAGGCCCGACCAGATCGAATGGGACGAACATCTTCCCAAAGTGCAGTCTGCATACAACAACTCGGTGCACTTGTCCACTGCACGCACCCCTAACGAACTGTGCAGAGGTTGGCAACCCCAACGTCCAATTGAATGCTTGAATCCAGATCAGTTTCAAAGACTGCTGCCCGGTACAACGGAGTTTGCAATTCAATACGAGAAGGATCTCGAGCAGGTCAAAAGGAACATAATTGAGGCCCAGCACCAGATGGTAGAACAAGCTGACAAACATCGACGACCATCACAGTTTGCAGTAGGTGAGACTAAGGTATTCATTCCAGAAGAAGGGATCTCGCAGTTACCTGCATATAGGGGACCATAGCGAGTGTTAGATGTCTAAGGAGAGGAAGATGGTCCATCCTACACGATCGAGATTCCACCCCAACTGCACACATACCCGGTATTCCACGCATCTAAGTTGCTTCCCTGTACTACAAACGATCAGTTTCCCTCCCAACGTTCCATGATTCCACCAGATATGGACGGAGTTTATGATGTAGACCGGATAGTGGCCGAAGATACTTTCCGCACAGGTTGCAGAGTAAGGACACAGCGGCAATATAAGCTAAGGTTTACCTACCAGGAGCCCAGCGAAAACCACTGTTTCCCCAAGGAAGAACTAATACAGTCGGCCCCTCACATTGTCTTTTTCTATGAGAGGGCCCAGAGAGGAATGAACGTATATGATAGATAAAGCTGAGATTTTCTCAGAGGACCCGGAAATTAGGCCAGCAGTGAAAGGATTCATGCTGCAAACACACAGTCCCGATCCCAGGGCCCGACAAGTCCGAAGTCCCAGGGCCGTCCCGTAGGCTGTAGGGTCTAGCAGGTGAAGCGTCGTAGGTCGGTAGGTGTCCGTACAAAAGCGTCGTAGGTCAGTAGGAGTCCGTCCGGTACCCGACAAGAAAAGTCCAGAAGCGTCCAGTCCAGTCCGACAGTCCCAAGTCCAATTTTGCAGCATGTCCCAGGAAGATCCAAAAGCTACGGGACCGTCAAAATGTTTGCAGTGGACAGGCCGCGGCCGACAGGTACCACTCTGAAGCAGGCCAAGCAAAACTAAGCCAAGCCAAACCAAGCCAAGCCAAGTCCTATATTTAGCTGCACTGCTACAGTGCAGCGGCTCATCACTTGATCAGTTGCAAGATGCGGAAGCTCTGCTGCTGCTTGTTGCGGCTTGTGCATTAAGGCAACTTCGGCATCGTGCACATGAAGAAGCACAAGAAGAGGACGCTTGAGAGATACTCCATAGCTAGCCTAGACGTAAAGCAGGAGGACAGCAGCCATAGCCGCCGAGGTGTGAGCAACCTGAGTGGGTGTAAGCAGGGTAACGATCAAGAGGGGGGGGGGAGAGGCCATAACCGCTATCTAGTTGAGACCCGTTCCGTGTGTGTGCAGCAAGGCCGCTGGAGACATTCTTGTATATTGATAATAATATTGGAGACCAGAAGTGTCGATGGCATCTCGAATTGGCTTTCACGGGTGAACTCTTCTCATGTGAACGTTCATTGATGTATGTGAAGTTGAACTTCACAAGTACTTGGCTCATTTCAATTGCCCATATACCATAAGGGGATGGAGGGCAGAAGGCAACTTACCTAAAACACAACACTACTCCAGCAAGAAGGCGCCGACCCATCTGCATGGGTGGGGTGGGGGGGGGGTAGAGAGATTCACCATGACAACAGCTGTTCAAATGCAGCCCAACGGCGCATTGAAACAGCCATCGCCATTTTCTGCCTTTCCTCTCCGGCCAATGCTCAAGAACAAGAAGTCCCGACAACGTTGCGGCAAGAAACCAAATGCACAAAAATTTTCATTCTGGCCCCAGTCCCAGCCACTGTATGGAGACTGTTGTGCCTAGCGCAGTTGGCACATCCATGAACTATTGAAATAGGCACAAAAGTTCAAATCCACAAGGTTACCTGTTGCAGCTTCGCCCGCAAAAAAAATGAAGGGAAAAGGGTGCAGAAGGGGTGGGTGGGGGTTTGTTGGTCCGGGTGTGGGCTTGGGTGGGGCCAAAGTGTTTTTTAGGCTCACCTGTGCACTGTTGTTGACACTTACGATGGAATGCTGCTGCTGCTTTGTATGCCTTGAATATATGTTTTTTTTTTCTTTCTTTTTGCTTTTTTCTCCTGTCAGAGATCTAATCACAGTGTGCATTCCTTTTCAGTTGTGGTTTGCTGGGTAGGCGGTTGTTCGGATTTGAAGTCACCTGTTGTGTGTGTCTCACACGTTGCATACCTGTCCCCCGCTCACCACAAATATTCTTTCTCACATGTGGAGAGAGACGCCATTTTGTGATCGTGTCTGGGGGGAAGGGGCAGGTCGTGTAGTTAGTTAGATTGGGGTCTCTCTCTCTCTCTCTCTCTCTCTCTCTCATGCAACACATCCTTTTTCTTTTAAAGGTGTCGATGCACCATGGATCAGATATGAAACTGATCGGAGCAGATACTGCACTTGATCGTGGGGGTGGGGTGGCGTGTAGTTAGTTAAATTGCTCTCTCTCTCTCTCTCTCTCTCTCTCTCTCTCTCTCTCTCTCTTTCGCTCGCGCACGCGTGCAAGCACGTGCCTTCTTTTTCATTTTTAAAATAATAACGATCTCGAATATCTCTATGGGCCACGGATCAGATGTGAAACTGAACGGATCAGGTACTGCTCGTGATCCTGTTTAGAGGAAGATTGGATATGAAACTGATCGAAGCAGATGCTAGACTTAGATGTGGGGCAAAGGGGAATGGAGACCCATTGTTAGTTAGGTTGGGTTCTCTCTCTCTCTCTCTCTCTCTCTCTCTCTCTCTCTCTCCCACCCCCTCCCTCCCCTTGTGTGTTCTGCGCAGATCTCAACCGATCGATGGAAGTAACATGACGCCAGCAACGAGGTTGGAGACTTACCTACTCTCTCACTCTCTCTCACGCACGCGTGCGCACTTTTTTTTTTTCTTTTATAAAATAAAAAGGTCTCGATGGATATGAAACTGAACGGAGCAGATACTGCACTTGATCGTGTGGGGGAGGGGGATCGAATATGAAACTCATCGAAGCAGATACTACACTTGATCGAGGCAGATAGTTAAAGAGTTTTCAGTTCTCTCTCTCTCTCTCCCCCCCCCTCCCCCCCCTCCCTCCCTCTCTTCCTCCAGCGTTTTGAGCATGCGCGTTTACACCATCTTGATGGACCCCTTGCTCTCTTGTGTGCTCACGTGTTTTTTTCTTTTTCTAAATAAAAAGGTCTCGATGGACAACGGATCAGTTATGAAACTGGAAGGAGCAGATACTACGCTTGATCCTGGTGGGAGGAAGGATCAGATATGAAACTGATCAAAGCGTATGGTACACGCACGACACTTTGCACACCATACTCACAGCAGATGAAGCATCCACGAAGCACATGTGAGACGCAAAGATGGTCTCTACCAATCAACGCAATTACGGAAAATTCTTGTACATGCAGGGAGGCTATGGCCACCATGCAGTCTCTCTCTGATGTCTCCCTCCTCTCTCTCTACCCTGGGCCTAACAATCCCTCCCTCCCGAAGTCACTCTTTCACTCTGTCTAGCAATGGCTACCGTTGCCCAGAGCCATCAACTACGTCCTACAGCAGTACTCAACTTTGTACCCAATGTTTGTACATCAACTACCTACTACCGCTTATGGGCTGATCCCTGTGCCAACGCTTGGACTTACTGTTGACTGGACCCATTGATACTTTTCCCAACAAACATTCCTATCTGGCCATTGATTCCATTGGCTAAATAGCCCCCACCCTTCTCTCTGAAATTTCAAGTAGACTTTCCCATCCTCCGACCATTTCCAACAGTTCCAATGATGGCCCCTGCCTTCGCCTGCTGTTTGAGCAGTTCCAATAATGGCCCCTCCAGAGACAAGAAGCAACTGCAAGGAAACAATGAGCAAGCACAGTGCATCTCTTCTTCAACAGAGAACAGAACACTAGCCCCCAGAGAGCAAAAAGATATGGAATTATGCAAAAACATCAAAAACACCTGCAGTGCAGGAGACTGACCTCCAGGGCCAGATCTGTTTACTGAGGTGGAAATGTGAAGGGGAGAGAGAGACTAGACATTGATGGGCCTCAATTCTCAGCCATTCTAGAACTTTCCTGTATGTATATGACCTCAATATGTCCTGGATGCATCTGACTGCAATTACCTCAAGGACTCGGTTGAACAAGTCTAAGAGGAAGTGTACCCTTACTTTGCACTCAGAAGTTCAAGGATGCACACCTTAGCACGAAGCTGTAACAAGTACTCGTTCGCATGAACTTCCACAGTAAATCTTGTCGACTGCTTGTTGGCTGTGCTCACCTAGCGATACACCACAGAGCAACCAAAGCACAGTAAGAGCATATAGAAGCCCAAGCCTTAAGAGGCAAAGCAGGGTGAGATGTCAGTTCAATTTCATTAGTACAGCACATAGTTAAAACTGTAGACTGCTTGCTGGCAACCTAGTAATACAAAACAGAGCAACCTCGCCTCAGAACACAAGAATACATTATCAACTCAAGACGTGGACAGGATCCCGAGTTGTACACAGAGCCGAAAGCTTTTTTTTCACTTGACCGATTATAACCGTGGACTTGTTTATCGACCAGTTATCGATGATCAATGAGCCTGACTCTTTCTTCTCCCTCCTTCCTGGTTTATTGTTGTAGGTAGAGGTGTTCTGTGCAAAGTCATCACATCCTCCTTTTTTTCTTTTGAGCTGTGGAAGAGGTCTTCCTGTAATGATAGAATGCATGCAATCCTCCACACAGCATTAACCCGCTATCATGACACTGGCGAAAGTGACATGGTTTTGGAATGACCGATGGGTGTTTGGCTTTGTGGAGACCTGCGCCGGCAGTGATTCAAGTTTTACGCGCACATTCTTCCTGACCCGCCAGTCGTTACTCCTGCCTACTGCTTTTTCCCTCCATCTTGTCCATAATCCCCAGCACCAAACAAAGGCAGGGAACCCACATCCAAGGGTGTTGAAGCCCATTTCCCCTCGTCCTCCTTCAGACAGCTTTTCAGGAGATTTCACATTTTGTTCGTCAAGGAAAAGTTTTTTAATTGTTTCTCTCCCCTTCCCATTCCCTGCCTTCCCAGTCTCCTGTTCCTGATCTCCGGCCCAGTTTCTTCATTGCTCCTCTCTCCCTTTCTCATTCCCTGCCTTCCCGGCCTCCTGTTCCTTCTGTTCCAATGCATGGGAGTGGGAACAAAAAACGAGCCAGGTGCAAGAAAATAATCTGCGAAGATATAAATCATCCTTCTGTTCCAATGCATGGGAGTGAGAACTAGTGAAGGGCCCATTTCTCCTCCTCTTTCTTCTTCCCTTACAACCCTCTTCTCCTGTGCAATCTTCATGGATCATCCGTTTGCCGAGGGGGAACACTGTCACCCCTGCTGTTACATGCCCAGTTGGGCGATGTACACATACAACCGAGGATCCGCAATGTGATGAAAAGGACTGAATGGACAATGTAGTGCCAGTAGAATCTGAACAAGCAGTGTGCATTCTGATACATACAAGCATTCTGATACATACAAAGATGGTGCTGTATAGCGCAGGGGAAGACTTAGATACAAGTCCTGACCTGACCGGGACTGACCTCTCTCACGTAGTACAAGATAGCGCAGCAGAATGCTAGAATACCAATGACGAGCCCAATCAATGTTGCAATGGAGACTAAACATACATCATCTTCATCACAAGGTGTCAAGGAGGCCTGGCGCAACACACAGGAAGAATGTGCCAGGTCCTGATCATGCACAGACGAAGAGGAGGGGGACAGATGAAGAAGAGGAGGGGGGAGATGGGAAAGTCGTCAACACCAAGTCTTCGTTACAAGTCCCAAATAATCCCTCGTCAAAATGTCTGAAGCCCAACATCGAGTCTGGATCCAAATGTCACCAAGCTCTCTCTCTCTCGTAGTCTGCTGACGCAGTGAAGTCAGATAGCGAGATGATGAGAGGGAGATGGTGGACTGAGAAGAGGAAGAAGAAGAACTCTCTCTCTCTCATGTGCCAGGTAATAACCTGTGAAGCCAGCGCTGCGCTGCAGGTACCTCGAAGACGAGGCTAGAGCTATGGCGCTGCAGGTAAGTCTCCCTGGCCTCCGCCCAATCTCTCTCTCTATCTCCCCGGTAATACTCTAGATCCTACTAGCGCCCAGCGCTGAAGACTACTGCTAACGCTACTAGCGCCCAGCGCTGAAGAATACAAGTAGCGCCTCTACTACTCCTGCAGCGCTCCTCCAGAGTGCTGCTGCCGAATCCTGAAGACTACCTCCTGCCTCCTGAACTGCACGTGAAGTGCCTAGGAAGTACCTAGGAACTACCTGCAGCCTGCAGGGCGGGCCAGTCTTATATAGTGCTGGCCCGTCCAGGAGGCTGCTCTTGCCAATGCCAAAACGTGCCAGACCCTGGCGTTGGTTGTCTTGAAAACAGGCCAAAAATGGCCTGTGCTAAAACCCTGGTCTGGTGCCTGAGTTTCAGGGCATGTGGATCTTACGAGGGCCTGAAAATGGCCGTCCGTTTCAGGCTGAAAAGACTCAGGGCCGGAAAGGCCCTGTTTTAGGCTGAAACGACGCAGGGCCTGTAGGCCCTTGTTTTCGGGCTTTCAGGCGCCTGTAGGCCCTTGTTTTCAGGCTTTCGAGCTGAAAACGACACGGGCCTGAAAATGGCCCGTGCAGCCTGTTGCAGGCGCAGCATGTAACACCTGCCCACCAATGCTCTTCTTCCCTCCCTCCGTAAATCTTCCCCTCATCTGCCATCCTCACGTTCATCATCCTCGCTCTCATCACCTTCACTCCCTTGTTTCCCTCGCCCATTTGTGACCTCGTTGCCATGATCGACTTGCAAAGGAGCATTCCAACTGTCATCCCCCTCCTCGTCACAAGCTTCAGCACTCTGTTTTGCGAGGAGGAAATCAAAAGAGCTCCCCAATGCTGATCCTCCCTCTTCTTCCACCCTCCCTTCAACCCTCATCTTCTTCCCAGCCATTTTTTTGTCTTGCTCTTAGATTACCCATGAACTAATCCTCCTCCACCCCCCTCCTTTTCTCATCCCCCTGCCCCTCTTATTCTGCCTTGCTCTCCATGAGCATCTAACTTGCTGGTTTCTACCTGTGTTCCACAAGAGCTCCTTTTCTCATCCTCCTCTCAAGCCCTGCCCCTCCGCTTGATATTGGGAGGAAGAAAAATTATCCAGTGAGACTTGCTACTTCTCCCCACTTCTCCTCCTCCTCACTCACTGACTGCTTTTACTTGTCATCGTCCCCACTTGTTTCGCTCGTAATCCATGCCCCTTTTCCTCATCAACAGCAGGGTCCCAATCCGGGGCCCTTCTTGTTCCTCTCATCATCCCTTTCACCGGAAGTGGCACAAGGAGAGTGCTCGGGTGGCGGAGAAGGACGCACAGCAGCAGCAGGAGGGAAGCAGGCCAGAGCAGAGTGAACAGCGATTGAAGAGTGCCGGTCGGAAGAAGGGCACATGAGCGGTAGCGGCAGGGTGCTGGGGTGAAGCCGTGGGGCGAATGTTGTGTGCAGAATGGACTATATAAGAGGAGACGACGGGAGATCGGGGATATTCAGGAGGAGAGCCGTACATGGGGAACCGGGTGTACCTCGGAGAGCTTTGTGACCCAGGCCTTGACGGGTCCGCCTCCATACGAGCTTGGGCGGAGAAGGAGACTACGCGTAACCGCCTGGAGACTCGCATTCTGGCACTCTTCAAGGCTGTGCTGGAGACTCGTATTCTGGCACTCTTCAAGGCTGCACTGGTTCACTTTCAGGTTGCTCGTTCCATTTTTCGGGATAGCTGCTGGCTGATATTCTGAGATCGGCAAGGGGGAGTGAATGAATTTAAGGTAATACTGGTTCCATTCGGGGTAAAAATGACTTTAATCAAAGAGTTAGTGAGACTATAGATGCTGCCCACAACTTAAACCTGGTTATAGGCCATGACCAATTGGATCTGCCCCTGATCACAGGCCCGCTGCTAGTTCGTTTTCTCCGGGTACCAGGCCTCGAAGCCTTGGTACCGCTGATGACTGACCACACTGATGACTGACCACATTCCGGGGTGAAGCCGTGGGGCAAACATTGTGTGCAGAATGGAATATACAAGAGGAGACGACGGGAAATCGGGGGATATTCAGGAGGAGAGCCGTACACAGGGAACCGAGATCACGTGGAGAAACGATCGGTGTAAACTGAACAAGCACCACAAGAAAAATGAATCAAGGGAGGTGATCCGGAAACACTGCTGATACACTACATGCATTCACCGCACTGTCATTGTTACTGAGTTCTGAGCGACAAGAAAAGGATTGCTTCGACGGGCAGCTTCCGATTACTTCAGCGATTGGGTACGTCATCAGCAACTCTCAGGTTATCTGGTACGATTGTTACCACATGTTTTTTTTCTAGGTAAACTGGTGGTATCACTGACCCCAGGACCTACTACTAAATCAGGCAAGTATGAAACGGTGATCACGAGCTTTAGATGTTTTCCGCCTACAAGCCATGAAGTATGACAAGTGGTTGAAACTCTGAACTCTCTCTCTGCAAGAAAGTGAGATAAGTCGAGCTGATATGTGTCTGAGCGTGTGTTCAATTTCTTGACTGAGTCTGAACTTCAAGCTTACTGCTGGTAACTGGTGTTATCTCGTTTGCGGAAACTTTGGCAATGGGGACCTATCTGATCTATGCGATGAAAAGAGAGCTTCCCACTTGAACGAAAAGGGGTAGGGCAGAAGGTCGTGAAGGGGGAAAGAAGAGAGAGGCAGTGAGGGGTGGACTAATTTTCAAACGGTTTGAACTTTGAAGTGAGAAAAGTTTCCCAGCGAGAACGAGAGTTTTTTTTTTCCCTTTCTTTAGTAATCTTTGCACATGCGTTTACCTCAGGAGGAAGTCTCGTCAAGTGAAGTATTGTCCTCGAGTAAGTGTTTACCTAAGCAGTTAAACGGAGACAAAACTTACCTGGTACTGTATAGTCCGGCTTGATGGAGAAGCCAGAGTTAAACGACATTATTGAGGCCGGAACAACACCTCTCACGCAGCCACGAATCTGGGAACTGGTACGTTAGAACTCGATTCTTGCTTCGATTGAATGTTACTTGCTTGGGACGTTTGATCATGCAAATCTATCGTCTAATCATCAATTCAATCAAATTGAATTCTATGTCTTATGGTTGTTATCATGTCGCCGTAAGGCCCAACAAACACATACTAATGGACTCGCAGCCACGAAGTGGGAGACTGGCGCTTGAGTGGGAAACCCAAACAAAAACGCAAAACAGATGGTCGGAACAAGCCTGCATAAA